TGACTCGAAATTTCAGCCAGTCGTATCGAAGGTTAATAAACATGTCGGCCGGCTGATCCTTGCTTCGTCTGCCGTCGCCTGACCCTGTAGTTCTGGTACTGAAACTGAGACAGGAAACGAATCAATTACTACTAAATTATTTGTTCATTTCCGCGTCTCCGTTGTTACGGCTGTCAGTAATCACCACCTCATCGCGGTCCGGATTAAGAATAATGAGTGAGAGTCTTGCATGACTCGGTCGCTCACAGCAGCTGATATGACTTTGCAGTAAATAGCGTGACAGTAGCCTGTTTCCAGCTCGGTGGATGGCGTAGGTGGCCACCAGTTGCAAAACCCGCCCGGCTACCAGTCAGCTCTATAATAATTCAGTCGTTCAGAATATAACTCGATAACTCTGTATAACTGTAGTTAAGAATCCGGTCTTCGTTAGCGTTGATTGAAGTGTCACTTAATCAGTCTTCATGCGATCCTGTGATTCGTTTTTATTACAACGTCTCATACTTCCGTCTTTGCCAGATTGAAGTTTCAAGTGATTTCTTCACTTTATTCGCTCCACATTTAACTCTGCGAGCTTTCATTTATTAATTACTGGTTACGACTGCCTCAGTTGTGCTTCTTTCTGACGCATTCGCGTCAAAAGGGGCCAACTGCATTCGTATCTTCTCTTTAGTTTGTTAATTTTCCTCATTTTCCACTATCTTTAACATGGTATTATTGCATCAACCACATTCCAGCCTATATTCCTTGTAGTTCCCTTTGCTGATAGTCGAACCAACGGAGTGCGTTTTCGATCGGTTTTTCTGTGCTGCAGCTAAACTTAAAGTATCCATTATGAAGGTAGTCTGGATCTGCTCCTTTTTGCGCCCACACATCTGAGCATTCGCCTTTCTCTAAAGTTAGATTGGCTAAACTGCCTCGTTCAGCTGCCTCCAATATGATTAAAGCAACGAAACTAGCGTTTGACCACTTGTCCTTTTTCGAGCGAACCGTTCACAACTTGTACCATCCATCTGTTCTTTTGCTGACATCTCTTCAGACAACTTCATCGTATCTCTGCATACTTTAGTTTTTAACGTAATGATAATGTCTTATGGTCGGACTCTGTCGAACTTTGCACAAAGTTTTCGGCTCTATGCCATGAACCTGCTGGACGCAAGTATTATTTTAACGCGCAAAAATCTTGTTGATCATTCGTTACATGGAACGATCAAAAACACTTATGAAAAAGATGACGCAGTGACCTGGTACAAGTAGCTTTTCATTCTTGTTCCAGGCAATAAACTGCTTTTCTGAGGAAGGGATGTGGATGGGTCGTCGTGAAACTAAAGTTTTATGCATCGAACTCGACGTTAGTTTCCATCTGCTGACGGAGACTTCTCGTATGATGGGTGTTTATTTTGTGTCTGTTTTACTCCTAGTGCTGAACAGATTTTTGTTTTTATTCTCCAAGATTTTTTAAATATTGTTTTTCAGGTATTCTGGCTAAGCAAACCAGTGTCATCAAGTCTACAGAATGAAACTGAAACAATCGATTTGTTCAGATTTTTCAAATTCTTGCATTCGTTTTTCGTCATCCACATCTTTTCAGGTTCTTGCCCGTTCGCTTCCTTTGGCGTTTAAGAGCGCTGCATTCAAGTTCAAGCTTTAAGCTGACACACTATTAGAGATCAATCTTTAATACCTTAAGTACCACTGCTGTACCACCATTTGTTTTAAAAAGTCGACATTCTATCATGGTATTGTGTACTGATTAAAGTTTGATAATTTGACGCAGGAAAAATATTTTATATCGATTTATTACTTGCATCATCTTTATCGTCACCATCATCTATGACTAAAAAACAGTAAACCGCAGGTTAGTCCAAATGGTAGTCTCGCCATTAGAAATGCTATATCAGCTATTCATTTGATCGAGGTGTTACTGTAAGTTGACCATGTAGTTTCGATCATTCGTCTAGTCATAATATTTTCTATTCGAATATTGAGTATTTCTTTCGTGCATTGACCGAATCGAATGACTGGCCATTACCTACGTTTTTCCCATTTTTCATGAACTTTCGTCAACGTTAAAAGTTGGATAAGTTTCAGAGGTTTTTCACGTTATCCGCAGCGGTTGATCCATATGACATCTAAACGTCTTCCGAACTGAACCAACTCGAACTCCTTATCTTATGAATGCTTAATTAATTGATTGATCATATTATTTACGTTGTGCATGAAGAAATCGTGTTTCATGCTGTTTTCATTATTTCCTATTCTAATTTTAAAAGTACGTGCAACTGTCTGGTAGAAAGTATGAGTATCACGAGGAATGTCAGAAGAAGAAGCTTATGAGCCGCTGTGCTCAGGAATTTTTATTGATTTTCCTCAAACGGATCATCTACTTTTCAAACACATGTTCTTCACTTTTTCTTACAGTCTTTATTCCCTAGCTACTCAGAACCCTTGATTGAACAAGTTTTTTGGTGCCTTATGTTCATGCACTTTGTATGGCAAATTTCTTTTACTGACCAGATATGGTAAAACAACTTTATTTCTCTTTCCACATAATCGGCTTCTCCCATATCTCATGTCCCTTATATTGATCCAGCGAGTGTAAACTACCGATTCTTGTTCGAAGTATTATCTTTCTTTTACAATATTTAAATTTTTCGTTACTTTGCCATTTGTCATTATCTTCGTAATTTTTATATTAACTTCCGGTGGCCATTGCGATGGAACTTTGTCGACGTCATTAAGTAGGCTAGAAAAGTTAATACACGCCTTCGTTTTCTCACAGGCTGTCGTACAGTGCTAATTTTGAACTTCGCCGATGCATTTTACTTTGCTGCAGTAATGGATGAGGGATGAGTGACTTTTCGCTCTCGCGACGATGTAAGTAAGTGACGGCTCCGTTTCGAGGATTGCAGTAAATTCTCGTAACTAAAATCATGGCGCAGGTTGTTTGTGATATCTCTCTCTGCGGAATATCTACCACCCGTTTCACACAGCTTTAACGATCTGCTGCTGCTGTCGAAGTTGTGCTACACGACTTAAATTTATCACATCGGCAACAAGAACTGAGCTGTTCAGAAAATCAGCTGTGCTTTTTCCAGTCCATCCACTCATAGTTTCCTGCATTAGCGCGTCGACTCTTAATTCCTGTAGGATTTGCATGTCAATCGTTGCTAGCTATTGTTCAACGTCTTTTGAGGACGGGATGACGTTTCTCTTGAAATGTATCTTCGTGTATCCTCATCTTCCTAGTATTCATGCAACCCAGCAGATTCAAGGAATCTAAGCACTGCTCACCGCAGAGGGCACCTACACCATTTTCAGGCTCCTGCATATCCGTTTGTACTAAAAGCCTATCTAGCAATAATAAATATGGTATGGAAATTCTGAAATGGTGTTCTGTGCACATGTCATAAGTAAATATGCCATGATTTGTTCTGATGCCGTCACCGAGTACCGCCCAATCTTAAATTGTTCGTTGTTTCTCGTAGTCTATCAGAGTACACATGTCCGTGATAGCCTTGATGTACAGCCGCTGCTTCTGCAGATTAACAAGTTACAGCTGCGATAATTTCGGCATGTGTTGTGAATGCCTCCAGAAAGAGCGGCTAAGCAACTGTTTCCTGCCCAACCGACCGGCAGAAGTCCCAGCGGACAATCAAGATTAACCTGGTGCAAATATATGGAATGAATCTACTCAAGACTCTGGTTGTCTTCTATCGAAGCTCAGACTCTGGCGCAAGATCGGAATCGTTGGAAGCATTATCTGTCTCATCTACCTTCACTACCAGAAAGTATATTTGGTCATTCAAGCTGAATAACAGATTGGCAT